GGCGGGCCAAATCACTCCACGAACCCTCGTGCTTCCACCGCCAAACAACATTTCCACCATCGCCTTCGTTGTGCACGGGTCGGGGGGAGGCGGACGCGCCATCCGCTTCTGCACGGAGAGGGGGATGCTCACGTGCCCACTGCGCACGAGTTCCAAGGAGCAGAATCTCCAAGTCTGTCTCGCCGTACCCGCCCGCCTCGTGGCGTGCAGAACACCAGCCTCTTTCGCCTCCAGGGTATCTTCTACGCCCCTTAGAGTGTCAGTAGATCTGCACTGTGGATGCCCGATTGATCCTGGAGAGGGTTACAGGCGCGTTCGTCTGGGGGTTATGGGCGCACTGACCAGCTACTGAAACAAGCCCTTTATCCCAGTGGTCTAGTGTTGGGATTCTGACATGGTATCGGAGCATTCTCGGGTTCGATTCCCGGTGTATGCACATGTAGGCCGTTGCCCTGTGCTTAGTCCTGGGCCTCCCAGTGTGGGGGGGTGTCAGTAGGTCTGCACTGTGGATGCCCGACAGATCCTGGAGAGGGTTACAGGCGTGTTCGCCTAGGGGGTTATGGGCGCACTGATCCGCTACTGAAACAAGCCCTTTTATCCCAATGGTCTAGTGGTTGGGATTCTGACAAGTTCCACTAGCAAAAGTTCATAGAACAAGAATATGATACAAGCAAAGAGAACAAATAGCAAAGACAGTGAACCCCGTAGAAACGTTCCTCGACAAGCACCTGAATCTGTCGAGTCAGCAACGGCAGGTGAAACGACAAGCACATGCATATTTCACCTGAGTTGGTAGTTGCTCAGATTTACAACGTTCATAGTTGTGCAGTAAAAACGTGTTTCAGGTTCAGTTGCCTTTCTGAATCGAATTCTCCTGGGGAGTACAATTTCCGAAATTACCTGATTGGTCGAAATTTGCTGTTCCGTAATTGGGCGAAATTCGCGCACATTGCAAATTTTGGAGCTAAGTTATTCTGGTCGACCAGAATCGATCTGCTCGACGAAACACTCGTCGAACTCAATTCTGTCGACCAGCATTCCGTCGAAACACCAATTCTGCCAATTCCGTCTATCAGAAAGGCTCGTCTTTGACGCCGTTTTACTCCCGTCGACGAGCTCCTCCTAGACGAGGACTTTGATCGAGCAGAAGAAACACTTCTACCTCGACCAATCAATTTCGTCGACAAACGGCTCGACGCACACAGATAAAAGTCCCGAAGTCGTCGATGACCACGAAACGAACACCGTTTTGTTCCAAATGCCTCGTCGACTTCGCCCAAGCGAGAGCGAGGCCTTTTCTCTTCGACATGCGGAGATCGTAGACCGGCCGCCGAAGGCTCCACTAGGTACCAGGAGGAAACGACCCAGTGAAGCCAGGCGGGCGGCGCAAACAGATCTCCTCGTGCAGGCTGCCCTGCAAGAAAGCTGTGCTGAAGTCAAGAGAGTGAAGCTCGTAGTCACGCTGAGCGGCGACGTGCAGCAGCACCCGAAGAGTGGTCATCTTCGGGGTGGGGGAGAAGGTCTGGAAGAAGTCAACTCCCTCTCGCTGACTGAAACCTCGAGCAACGTAACGAGCCTTGAAGACAGGTGGAGAACCTGGCAGCCGCTTCACCCTGAAAATCCACATGCCACTGACGATGTTCGCCCCAGGAGGGGGTACCACGTCGACGTACGTGCCTGTAGACTTCCAGGATGCCATCTTTGCGTCCATGGCTGTCTGCCACTGAGAGGAGTACTCACCCGCGATCGCCTCAGCGTAAGAGCGCGGGGTCGAGATGTCTGGAGCATCCGGGTCTCCCTCAGGGACAAGCAGCATAGACACGAGATGAGGCGCAGCGGCTGCAAGACACTCAAGGTCCTCCTGCCTGTCCTCAAGGACGTCCGTGCCAAGAGCACACTCACCCCCGACGGACGGAGGACAGACAGACTCAAACTCAGCAACAAGACAGGCGGCGTAGTCTAGACGACAGGCAGCAGCAAAGTCAACAAGCTCAGCGACTAAGGCAGACGCAACAGTAGTCTCAAACGACGGGTCAGTGACAACTGTGGCTAGCAGACGCGTGACAGTAGGGTGAGCAGCACGAGCGCGAATAGACTCAGGCTCAGGAACGGTAGGCAGAGAAGACGCAGGAGGGGATGGCAGGGGAACACGCTGCGGAGGAGAGGAAGGACGACGGACTACGAGGTGGGTGCCGGGGAAAGCCGGCTGAGGCGAACGAGGAACACGACGACTGGAACGACCAGAACGGACAGGCAAGACAGGACGCGACGCAGGCTCACGACGCACAGTAAGACCCTGTCTGCTCAGTGTAAGGAGAAGGAGCAGGCAGCGGTGAGCCAGGCTGTAACGGAAGACCAGTAAACGAAGGGAGACTAAGAACCTGGCGAAGCACAGAGTCAGATGGTGGCTTAGACGACGGAGACGGTGGAGCAAAGAACAGGCGCGGCTGTGTAGTGCTACCAGCACCAGCAGCTCCAGCACCCCCAGCAGCTCCAGCACCTCCAGCAGCTCCAGAACCCTCAGCTCCAGCTCCTCCAGGACCAGCTCTACCAGCAGTAGCACCGCCAGAACCGGCACCTCCAGTCCCAGGGTCTTCAGCCTCAGTGTCTCCAGCAGCAGCATCCTCAGGCTCAGCACTCCAGCCCCAGCAGCTCCAGTACCACCAGTACGAGCACCTCCGGGACCAGCACCACGAGCAGCTCCAGTGACGTCAGAAGAAGTACCTCCAGCGATAGAGCCCGAGCTCCAGAAGCGCGACCCTGACGGCGACCGTACCAGTCGTGCAGCTGCTGAGAGGTGAGAGGCACACGCGGACGAAGGCGGCTACTCCAAGGAGACCGCACAACAGCAGACTCAGAACCCTCAGTGCAAGCAACTCTAGAACCTCCAGCAGAAACAACTTCAGTAGCAGAGTCACCAGCTCCAGCGCCTCCCGCAGCAGGGCCCCTAGCTCCATCAGCGCGACCCTAACGGCCAACGTACCACTCACGCAGCTGCTGTGGGGAGAGAGGGAGTCGACGACAAGAGTGCAGCGTGAGAAACTTAGAACGAGAATGAATTGACTAAGGAATGAAAGTGATACAAATATGAAACCCTAGAATTGTGTACCCCTTAGTATCGAACCCACTACAGCCTACACAGGCTAGATCATATAAGTTTGACACACCCTCATAGGCAAAGTGGGGGAGAACAAGGGGTCACAAGACCAGTCAAGCAAAGCAAGGCAAAGCAAGCTCAGGTGGATCACAACGTCACCACACATTCTAAGCACAAGTTCAAGGCCACAAGGACAGTTCACATGCATGAGTACACACATATATATAAAGCTAAACAAGCAAGAGCAGGTATATATATATACTGTAACAGTACAAGCAAGGTCAAGAAGTGAGCAAGTGAGGCAAGTTAGGTACAAGACATAACAGAGTACAGAAGCGCTGATGGTCACAAGGCGCAAGTGCCTTGGTGAAGATATCAGCACTGTTGGCCTCAGAGGCCACGTAAGCAAGGCGCAGCTGACCTCGCTGCTGCAGCTCACGAGCAAGGAAGTAGTGAAGAGCGATGTGCTTCGTTCTGTGCTCCAGTCTGTGCTCCCGACACAAGGCCAGCATAGCCTTGTTGTCTACGTACAGAACTGGAGGAGAACGAGGCGGCTCTCCTAGGTCAGTCAGCAGGTAGGTGAGCCAGCGTAGCTCCTGTGCAGCCATGGCCCCTGCGTAGATCTCAGCCTCACAACTGGTGACGAGAACAGAAGACGAGCGGGTAGACCGCCACGGAACAAAGGCTGAAGGTGTAACCCTGTGATGACCGCTGCGTAGCCTGGTCGTCAGCCCAAGAAGCGTCTGCGCGTGACCAATGAGGACCACTGGACTCCGTCCTCCAAGCACAAGCCCCATGCCCGACGTACTGCACAAGTAGCGCAACACCCTCTTCGCTGCAGCCATGTGCTCTGGTTTGTGTCTCCCAGGAGCAACATAGCGTGCCAGAATGCTAAGAGGGTATGCAAGATCAGGTCGAGTGCAGGTTATCAGGTACATGAGGCAGCCAACAAGCTCTGGGTACGGGCCACTCGACTCTACGGACTCATCCGAAGGCAGAGCTGAGAGCGAGTGGCGAGTAGACAGAGGAGTGGCCTGAGGCGAGGAGTACGTGAAGCCGAAGCGCTGAAGGACCTGCTGCACCATGTGTGACTGAGTCAGGTAATGGTGCGCTGTGCTCTGTCCCGGGTGATCTGCAAGCCAAGGTAGCTGCGCAGTTCACCCAGGTCTGTGCAAATGTGTCTCTTCTGCAGCTCGGACTTCACGTGGGCGAGTCCAGCAGTGTCAGCTGTGGCAAAGACCAAGTCGTCGACGTACACGAGGATGTAGAATGGCGGCAAAGAAGTGTCGGTGCGCAGAAACAGCGACGGGTCGGCAGTGTAGAAGGAGCAAACCCAAGAGCCGCAAGTGTAGTCCTCAGTGTGTCGTGCCACTCACGAGGTGCCTGGCGGAGACCGTAGACTGGCCGCAGGAGGCTCCACTGGGTACCAGGAGGAAAAGACCCAGTGAAGCCAGGTGGGCGGCGCAGCCAGATCTCCTCGTGCAGGCTGCCCTGCAAGAAAGCAGTGCTGAATTCAAGAGAGTGAAGCTCGTAGTCACGGTGAGCGGCTATGTGCAGCAGTACCGGAAGAGTGGTCATCTTCGGGGTGGGAGAGAAGGTCTGAAAGTAGTCAACTCCCTGCCGCTAACTGAAGCCACGAGCCACTTCACCCTGAAAATCCACATGCCACTGACGATGTTCGCCCCAGGAGGGGAACCTCTTCGACGTAGGTGCTTATGGACTTCCAGGAAGCCATCTCTGCATCCATGGCTGCCTGCCACTGAGAGGAGTAGGGACCCTCTATCGCCTACGCGTAAGAGCGCGGAGTCGGGATGTCTGGTGCATCCGGGTCTCCCTCAGGGGCAAGCAGCATGGACACGAGATGAAGTGAAGCAGCAGCAAAGCACTGGAACTCCTCCTACCTGTCCTCAAGGACGTCCGTGCCAAGGGCACACTCACCCCCGACGGACGGAGGACAGACAGACTCAGACTCAGCGACAAGACTAGCAACGTAGTCTAGGCGACAGCGAGCAGCGAAGTCGACAAGCTCAGAAACTAAGGCATACGCAACAGCGGACTCAAAGGAAGGGTCAGTGACGACAGTAGCAAGGAGACGCTTGAGAGTAGGACTGGCAGCACGAAGGGAGTCCGACTCCGGGTCAGCAAGAACAGGAAGAGAGGACTCAGGAGGAGAAGGCAAAGGGGCACGCAGCGGAGCAGTGGAGGGACGCAGAGACATCCGGTGCGTGCCGAGGACAGGGGGAGGACGCTGACGCGAACACGACTACTAGTGCGAGCAGCATGGACAGGCGACGCAGGACGAGACGCAGGCTCACGACGCTCAGCAAGACCTCCAGTAGGACCAGTGTAGGGAGAAGGAGCAGGCAGAGGAGAGGTAGGCTGTAACTGTGACTCGGACTGGACAGGCGGTGGACAGTCTAAGGGAGGAGCCGACTAGTAGAGGGCTGAAGACCAAGAACCTGCTCAAGGAGCGGAAGGAAGTACGGCCGCGACCGCTCAGCACCACGAGCACCAGAAGGGACAGCACCAGCACCCTGAATGACAGCACCAGCGCCAGCAGCACCCCCAGCTCCAGCAGCGCCAACTCCAGTTCCCTCAGAGGCACCAGCACTAGAGGCACCCTCAGCGCCAACACCCCCAGAAGCTCCAGCTCCAGCCGGACCACCAGAAGACGCAGCGGGTCCAGCTCCAGCACCCTCAGTAGCACCGACGCCAGCAGCACCACCAGCTCCAGTACGAGAAGCACCCGCAGGCCCAGCAGCTCCAGTACTCCCAGTACGAGCACCTCCGGGACCCGCGGCACCAGCACCCTCAGCAGCAGCAGAACCTCCAGCACCCGCAGCACCTCCAGCTCCAACAGCTCGCCTCCAGCGCCGGGCAAACCACTCACGCAGCTTCTGTGGAGAGAGTAGCTCCCGCCGGGACGAAGCACCTGAAGAACCTCCAGGCCCAGCACCGCCAGACGCCACACGAGCAGGTCCAGTACCCTCAGACTCCGCACCCCCAGGCGCAGCACCCCCAGGGCTCAGCACCCCCAGACGCAGCACCCCCAGGCGTAGCACCCCCAGGCTCAGCACCCCCAGGCGCAGCACCCCCAGAGTCAGCACCCCCACGCTCAGCACTCCCAGACCCAGCACCCGCAGGCTCAGCACCCCTAGCAGCACCAAAGTCAACAGCTACCTCGACAGGGTCGACTGCGTCTACCTGAGACACACCTGGAGGGTAGGACCCTGAGGGGGGAGGGGGTCTACCGGAGGGGGACCTGGCGTAAGGAAGAGCGGCGGGGGGGGGAGGGACGCAGTGCGGTAGGGGAAGAGACGGTAGTAGGGAACCAACTCGTCAAACGTGACGTCCTGGGAGGACAGAACACGGCGCGAGGTGGGGTGGTAGAACTGCCAGCCCGGCGCGTCAGGGGGGAAGCCAAGGAAGACGCAGGGAACAGCACGAGGGGACAGCTTGTCCGCAGACAAGTCGCGGACAAACGCCCGAGATCCCCAGACACGGAACGCAGACGCATCGCCAACCTTCCCCGTCCACAGCAAAGCTGGGGAGGTCTCCGGCATGGAGACCCTGGGGTGAAGGTTGATCTGATGCGCCCGTACCGAACCGCAAATGGCCACAGAAAATGGGGGGCAGCCGCATGGATCATGGACGTACGAGCGACGTCCATGACCATGCCAATGCGGCGCTCAGCAATCCCATTTTGCTGCGGAGAGTCCGAAGCGTGAAGGTCTGGCGGATGCCTCGTGCATGACAGAAGGCTCGCAGAAGGTCAGAAGAGAACTCTCCGCCTCTGTCAGAGTGCAGACGCAGAACAGGAAAGTCCGAGCCGAAAATCTCTCTGAGCTGGAGACGAGCTACGCGGATCCAGGCGATCAACACCTCAGTGACCTCACCCTTGCTGCGCAAGGGGAAGACTGGGGTGTAACGCGAGTAGTCGTCAACCACCAGCAGGAAGTAACGCTCGTGACCCCTCCCCGATGCAGGCTGGGCCCCACACGTCCATGTGAAGCGTCTGCAGCGGAACCTCTGTCGGAGGAAACTCGGAGGAGTGAGGAGCAGCGCGCTGCCGGCCCTCGACGCAGGGAACGCAGGTGGGGGCAGGCCCCGGAGGAAGGGGAGGGAGGGACCGGGGGAGACCAGAGACAAGGACACGGGAGGCCATGCCTCGAAGACGAGGAAGGGAGGGGTGACCAAGGCGGTGGTGCCAGAGAGAGTCTGGTGAGACAGGAGACGACACGAGCAGGGGGCAGACTCAGGACCAGACCTGGACGCCGCAACAAACACCTGACCCGACGCAGCTACCTGAGCAGACTCAGCGACCGGAGGAGACTCAGTAGTCAGTGTGTACAGGCTCGACCCCGGCTGACGGGTTAACGTGGTCAAGTGACGGCCCGTCCGAGCACAGGTACAGTGGGTCACTCGCTGACTCGCAGGAGTGAACTGGTGAACCCCTCCATCCTGGAGGTCAGCACCACTCACCAAGTTCGTAGAGAACGAGGGGAGGTAAAGACCCGACAGGGTGCCAGAAGGGGCCACCGGACATGGTAGAACAATGGAGAAGTGGGGAAGGACAGGACCCCCAGATGGGTCTGCCAGGGAGACTGCCACTGGCCGACTAAGCGGCATAAGCGTGGTGCGGTCTCGAAAGAAGGAGCGGGAAGCACCCGAGTCAAGGGTGAAGGTGTGGGTGGCCGGAGCCGACACGGTACTGAGAGCGCTGACTCACCAGCACCTGGGGCTGCAGGCTCATTGGCACCTAGAGCAGTAGGCTCACCAGCACCTAGAGCAGCAGCCTCAATGCCCGGGTCAGGCGGAAAACACCGGTAATAGTCACCCTCATCACTAATAGTTACAGCATACATTGCAGCTAGAATAGCATCATAATCAAGATCAAAGATCGCAACACGCGCCCTAAACAGCTCGCCCCAGCGAGGGATCTCAGTAGCGTCGGGGAACTGATGACGCCAAGCGTCTGTCAGGCGACCGAAGCAGCGCTGGGTGGAGTGCGGACCCCCACACTACTCACCCGTGCGGTTGCCTGTACGTAGAACGTAGGTACAGGGGCCAGCACCCCTACCCCGCTGACGAGCAGTGTACCACTCACGAAGCTGCTGGGGGGAAGGGGTCTCACGACTGCGCTGCTGCTGCTGCTGCTGCTGGCGTTGACCACCACCAGAGCCGACCCTCTGCGAAGAGCCGCCCCGACCAGCTCCACCTCCGCCGCCGCTACCTCCACCACTGCCTCCACCTCCACCACCTCCGCTCGCACCGCCACCACCGCCGCCTCCTGCGCCTCCACTGCCGTCACTAGTGCCCCCACTCCCGCCACCACTCCCACCGCCACCCCCACCCCCTCCGCCGCCTCCACCGCCGCCTCCACCGCCCCCGCCAGCTCCTCCAGCGCCCTTGCCCCCCTTGCCCTTGCCTGAGCGGCGTCTCTCGCTAGGGGCAGACGCCGCGCCGACCGACTCAAGACCAACGGGGTCGGCCGCAGCAGCAGAGGCAACAGAGGGCAAGAGGGGGGAGGGGGAGCACCCCTCAAAGACAGGGGTACAAGGGTCACCACGAGAGGCTCCTACAGCGACTATAATATTTTCTGCTGCTAGGAGGCGCTCCTCGAGGAGGTCAACGGTGAGGGTGGTGGGGCAAACAGAGAGGAAGTGGTCCCTGACCGAGCGAAGGGTGTTAGGGAGCCGGGTGACTATGTAGTAGAGGGTGATGTACATAGGGGGGGGGGTTCTTGGCGCAGAACTCAGCAGGAAGCGCAGCGCGGTAGCGAATGTCACTAGTGCGAAGGTGCGTAATGAGGTCAGCGACTGTGGGAAAAGCGGCGAGGTCAGGGAAGAGGTACGGCAGTATGAGGCGGCTAAGGGCAGCAGTGGCAGGGGAAGAGTAGCGTGCAACGACAACGTCGTACAAGGTCTTAGCACTCTTGTACTGACTAAAATGCGCGCGCTCAGCGGTCGGTAAGTGGCGGCGCACAGCAAGGCGAGCTGCAGCATCGCGAGCGGCCCATTGTGAGCGAACAGTGGCGTCAGCATCAGGAGTAGGGGCAGGAGAGGCACCAGAGGTGAGGTCAAACAGAGAGAGACCGTCTGCCCTATCGCACTGTAGGAAAAGCTGCAGATCATCTACCCAGACCTCAAAGTCAACAGCCCGACCCTCAGCGTCAAAGGTGAGAACACTGGGGTGGCCATGACAGCAGTAGACTAGCAGAGAGAGCAGCGGGGTAGGGCAGTGCAGTGGCAGAGGCGCTGCTCTTACCAGGCAGGTGGGGCGGGGCCGAGGCAGGCCGGAACAGGGACAGGCCGCGACGGCAGGGACTGCGGCGTCTTGGCTGCGGCGATGTGGAGGCTCGGCGGCTCGGCGGATTGGCGGCTCGGCTGCAGGGCGGCTCGGCGGCTCGGCGGCTCGGCAGCTCGGCGGCTCGGCGGCTCGGCAGCTCGGCGGCTTGGCAAGCTCGGCGGCACTGGCGGCAAGGGCGGCTCGGCGGCTCGGCGGTGACGGCGGCTCGGCTGCTCGACGGGGCCGGGAAAGGGCGGCCGAGGGGCCCAGGAAGGGCGGCAGGGCCGCGAAGGGCGGCGACGGGGCCGCAAGGAGCGGCAACGAGGCCGCTGAAGGGCGGCGACGAGGCCGCGGAGGGGTCGGCGACGGAGGTCGCTGAAGGGCGGCGACGAGGCCGCGAAAGGGCGGCGACGGGGCCCGCGGAGAGGGCGCAATGGGGCCGGCTGAAGGGCGGCGTCGGGGCCGGGGCGGAGGGGCGGTGACGTGGCCGCTGAAGGGCGGCGACGAGGCCGAGGGGAGGGGGGGACGGCGACGGGGCCCCTAAGGGCGGCTACGGGGTCGCGGCTCGGCGGCGACGAGGCCGAAAGGGGCGGCGACGGGGCCGTAAGGGCGGCGACGGGGTCGTAAGGGGCGGCGACGGGGCCTTAAGGGGCGGCGACGGGGCCGTAAGGGGCGGTCGCGGGACCGTGAGGGGCGGCGACGGGGCCGTAAGGGGCGGTCGCGGGGCCGTGATGGGCGGCGACGGGGCCGTAAGGGGCGGTCGCCGGGGGCCGTAAGAGGCGGTCGCGGGGCCGTAAGGTGGCGGCGACGGGGCCGCTAAAGGGGCCAAGCGGGGCCTAGAGAGGGCAGCGACGGGGCTTGAGGGGCCGCTAAGAAGGGTGCGACGGGTCGCTAAGGGCGGGACACTAGGCGCGCTTCGGGCAGGGGCGGCACGCGCCCCGGGTAGGAAAAAAATCTTGGTGGGCCCTAGGAAAAGTTCCCACGAGGGAACCTGCTCGATACCATGAGAAACTTAGAACAAGAATGAATTGACTAAGGAATGAAAGTGATACAAATATGAAACCCTAGAATTGTGTACCCTTAGTATCTAACCCGCTACAGCCTACACAGGCTAGATCATATAAGTTTGACACAGCGGCGAGGTACCAGCGGAGCGACTATAGAGACGGCCGCTCCAGGGAGACTGCTCACCAGACGCCTCAGCGCCCCCAGGTGCAGCGCCCCCAGACTCAGTATCCCCAGGCTCAGCACCTCCAGTCTCCGCACCCCTAGGCTTCGCACCTCCAGGCTCCGCACCCCCCAGGCTCAGCACCCCCAAGCTCCGCACCCCCAGGCTCAGCACCCCCAGAAGCAGCACCCAAGCAGGACCACCCTCAGCAGGACCTGAATCACAGTGACCTCAACCGGCGCAGTCAAAGGAGGAGGGTCTACCTGAGAAAACACCTGAAGGAGCAGGACCGGGAGCGGGGAGGGGGTCTACCTGGGGAGCACCTGGAGCGAGGAAGAGCGGCGGGAGGGGGAGAGGGGCAGTGCGGGTAGGGGAAGAGACGTTTAAAAGGGGACCGACTCGTCGAACGTGACGTCCTGAGAGGGGAAGACACGGCGCAAGGTGGGGTGGTAAAACTGCCAACCAGGCGCTGTCAAGGACAAAGCCAAGGAAGACACAGGGAACAACGCGGGCGGAGAGCTTGTCCGCGGTGGTATCGCGAACAAAGGCACGAGCACCCCAGACCCGGAAACGCGACGTATCACCAACCTTCCCCGTCCACATCAGTGTGGGCGAGGTCTCCAGCAAGGAGACACGGGGCCAGAATTTGAGCTGATTCGCGGCGTACCGGACCGCAAACGGCCACAGAAAATGGGGGGGCAGCCGCATGGATCATGGAGGTACGAGCGACCTCCATGACTAAGCCAATGCGGCGCTCAGCAACCCTATTCTGCTGCGGAGAGGCCGGAAGCGTGAACGTCTGGCGGATGTCATGCTCCGCACACAAGGCTGCCAAGAGGTCGGAGGAAAACTCCCCACCTCTGTCAGAGTGCAGACGCAGGACGGGAAACTTCGTCCCGAACCACTCGCGGAGCTGGAGACGAGCAGTGCGGATCCAAGGGATCAAAACATCAGGGACCTCACCCCTGGTGCGCAAGGGGAAGACCGTGGTGTAACGCGTGTAGTCGTCGACGACCAGCAGGAAGTACCGCTCGTGGCCTTGTCCACGGACGCGGGCTGGGCCCCACACGTCCAGGTGGAGAGTCTGCAGGGGAGCCTCTGTGGGAGGGAACGAGGAGGAGTGAGGAGCGGCGCGCTGCCGCCCCTCGACACAGGGAAGACAGGGAGGAGCAGGCGAGGGTGGGAGGGGAGGGAGAACCCTGGGAAGACCAGAGACAAGGACACGGCGGTGCATGCTAAGAAGGCGCTGCACCGAGGGGGTGACCAAGGCTGGTGGTGCCAAAGGAGGGTCTGGTGCGACAAAGCGCGACACGAGCAGGGGGCCGCTAGCTGACCTGACGCAGACGCATACACAGCGACTTGAGGACACAGTAGTCAGTGTGTACAAACTCGAGCCAGGCGCACGGGTAAACGTGGCCAGGTGCCGACCCGTCCGAGAGCACGTACAGTGGATCACGCGCTGACCTCCAGGAGTGAACTGGTCAACCCACTGATCCTGGAGGTCAGCACCACTCACCAAGTTCGTAGAGATCGAGGGGGGGTGAAGACGTGACAAGGAGCCAGATGGGACCGCCGGACACGGCAGGACCGAGGAGGAGTGCGCAAGGACTGGACCCCCAGAGGGGTCTGCCAAGGAGACTGGAACCGGCCGGCTGAGCGGCGTGAGGGTGGTGCTGTTGCGAAAGAAGGAGCGGGAAGCACCTGAGTCAAGTGTGAAGGTGTACAAGGCCTCAGCAGGCGCAGTACCAGAGAGAGCAGACTCACCAGCACCTGGAGCAGCAGCCTCACCAGCACCCAGAGCAGGAGACGCACTAGCACTTAGAGCAGCAGCCTCACCAGCACCGAGAGCAGCAGGCTCTATACCTGGGTCAGGCGGTACGCACAGGTAACAGGCACGATCAGCACTAATAGGCAATGCATACATGGTAGTGAGAATAGCATCATAGTCAAGAGCAAATATATCTACCCTCTGCCCAAGCAGCTCCACCCAGTTGGGGAGCTCAGCCTCGTCGCCAAACTCGGTACGCCAGGCGTAGCTCAGACGGGAGAAATAGCGGGACTGGGTGTGACTAAGCGTCCCGCAAGCCTGACCCGTCCGATCACTTTTGCGAATGACGTACGGGCAGCGAACGGTACTCAAAGACCCTCTACTCTGAGCGTACCACTCGTGAAGCTGCTGGGACGTAAGTGTCTTGCGTGGACGCCGCTGCACTTGCAGCTGGCCATTGCCAGACGCTCCTAACTGACCAGCTCCAGGACGACAGCTACGACGGCTACCGCCACAACCCCAACTAGCATACCACTCACGAAGCTGCTGGGGCGTGAGAGACTCGCGCGGACGTCGCTGGAGCTGCATCTGACCACCGCCAGTAGCAGCAGTAGCAGTAGCAATAGCCTAGCAGTAGTAACAGAAGTAGCAGCTATAGTAGCGCGAGCAGGGCAGGCGCGGCAAGCACGCAGGCAGACTGGCAGGCAGGCAGGCTGGCTGGCAGGCAGGCAGGCAGGAAGGCAGATGGCGCGGCAGCACGCTAACAAGGCAGGTGCTCACCAGTGGCGGGAAGAGCAGGCGCTCGCCGGGCGAGCAGGGCCGGTGCTCGGCGGGCGGATGCACGGGGTCCAGGGGTGGCGTCGCGGGTCCAGGGGCGGTGTCGCGGGGGTCCAGGGGCGGCTGCACGGAGTCCAGGGGCGGCTGCTCTGGGTCCAGGGACGGCTGCTCGAGGGTCCAGGGGCGGCTGCACCAGGGGCAGCTGCTGCAGGGGCCAGGGGCGGCTGCTCTGGGTCCAGGGGCAGCTGCTCGAAGGTCCGGGGGCGGCTGCACCAGGGGCGGCTGCTTCAGGGGCCAGGGGCGGTTGCTCTGGGTCCAGGGGCGGCTGCTCGAGGGTCCAGGGGCGGCTGCACCAGGGGCGGCTGCTTCAGGGGCCAGGGGTGGCTGCTCTGGGTCCAGGGGCGGCTGCACCAGGGGCGGCTGCTTCAGGGGCCAGGGGCGGCTGCTCGGGGTCCAGGGGCGGCTGCTGCAGGGGCCAGGGGCGGCTGCTCTGGGTCCAGGGGCGGCTGCTCGAGGGTCCAGGGGCGGCTGCACCAGGGGCGGCTAATTCAGGGGCCAGGGGCGGTTGCTCTGGGTCCAGGGGCGGCTGCTCGAGGGTCCAGGGGCGGCTGCACCAGGGGCGGCGTAGCTGGTGCAGGGCAGCGCGCGGGTCCCACAGGCGCCGCGACGGGCGACGGGGGGCAGCGCGCAGGCCAGGCGGGGCCGCGTCGGCGGCAGGGTGGGGCCGCGACTGCGGCAGGGCGGGGCCGCGTCGGCGGTTGTAGAAAGCAGCGCGAGGGCTGCGAAGCGACGCGTGGAGCAGGAGAAGGCAGCGCGGGGGCTGCGGGGCGGTGCGCGGGCCTGACAAGGTAGCTAGCGGGCTACGCGCGGGGCTGACGAGGCAGCAGGCGGGCTGCTAGCGGGCTGTACGAGGGCCAGCAGAGGCGACCGCGAGGGCTGCGCGACGCAGGGCAGTGTAGGCAAGGGGCGGGGTAACTCGGTAACCGGCGGAAAACGGTTGGTGG